TTGCTAAGATTTCAATAGTAGTTTTCCAAGCGTATCCTAGATGTGGCGCAAGACTGAAAGTATGGGGCACACAGTGAGCATTGAAATCACTAGTCAGTCGATTATGACTAAGGCGATTATGACTCTATACAGATTTCTTTTCTTTTTAACAGTGATTTGCCACAGATTCTTGTGAAAGAGAGTAGACTCGATTGCTCTTGAATTCTACATGGTTTAAAATTCGTAGTTATTCTCCTTCTAGACTGGTTTCCATCCAAGGTGAGAGAACCATCAGTATCTGTCTATATTTCTGAGATGAGGTATTATGTACACTATTTACATTATTCGGACTATTGTCCTCATCTTTGTCGCCATATTTATTACAACGTTTCGGCCTTTCAGTATCTGTCTATATTTCTGAGATGAGGTATTATGTACACTATTTACATTATTCGGACTATTGTCCTCATCTTTGTCGCCATATTTATTACAACGTTTCGGCCCTTCAGTATCTGTTTATATTTCTGCGATGAGGTATTATGTACACTATTTACACTATTCGGACTATTGTTCTCATCTTTGTCGCCATATTTATTACAATGATTCGGCCGTTGTACGCTCTTGCCTTCTTCAGCTGGTTGGAATATCGAACTGAACCCTTTATTTCGCTCACTGAGGTAGACTATTCTAGTTCCTCATGCCATGTTTAGTGGATGTCAGTTATCAGGTATCTCCTGTTAATTTCCCTCTGAATGTTCTCCACTGCCTTAACCGGGGATTGAACTCACACTCTTTGGGTCATGTCACTGGATCTAACCAACGTCTTTATCCAGGACACATGACACAGTGGATGAGAACAATATTCGGAATTATGTAAATAGTGAGAGAACCATATATGCTCTGCTGTTAGTTACGTGAGAAAGAAAAGTGGGATTCAATCTTTTCTGGGGGGTGAGGTAATAGCGTGAAAATGAACACTTGATAAAACATAAGATTGTTCACTTTAAGATACGAAAAAATAGGTTGGTGCCCAATAAAATAAACATAAGCGTCAGGTAAGATATCAGAGGAAATAAACTGAAGGCTTTTGTTATAATTACTATTTTTCGTTTTTTTTTTAAATAAGGAATTTCCCTTTCAGAAAAAGAAAGCTAATGCCATTAATAAATATATAAATATTTCTCCACCCAACGCTAAACATGTACACGCGATCGCATATTACTTTAAAAGAATATTTATTATTTTTATGACGGTATTTATTTTATTATTAGGTGGGACATTCGAATTGGATATTTGGTCTGAATTTCCAGTATATAATTATGTATAATTTATTGTTATTTACGTTATTTTCATTCAAATTAATGTATCTGTTGTTGTTATCATAATGTTTTTGACCGTTGAGACATCCTCTTTTCTTTAGGTGTGGCTCTATCAGGGTATCCTTTGACAAATATCGAATTGAACACTTTATTGATAGATATATTGGTTCCGTTCTCCATGTCTTAGGATATCTCGTCTCGAACTTTTTTTGTGTAACTTTTAGGAGTGCTCATTCCGTTAGTGCTCACTAGTGAATCTGGTTCTGTACATCTATCTATCTATCTATCTCAGTCTGTTTCTATCTATCTATCTATCTATCATCTATCTATCTATCTATCTATCTATCTATCTATATATCTATCTATCTCAGTCTGTTTCATCTATCTATCTATCTATCTATCTATCTATCTATCTCTATCTATCTCAATCTGTTTCTTTCTTTCTCTCTCTCTCTATCTATCTATCTCAGTCTGTTCATATCTATCTCAGTCTGTTCGTATCTATCTATCTATCTATCTATCTATCTATCTATCTATCTATCTATCTATCTATCTCAGTCTGTTCATATCTATCTCAGTCTGTTCGTATCTATCTATCTATCTATCTATCTATCTATCTATCTATCTATCTATCTATCTATCTATCTATCTATCTATCTCAGTCTGTTCATATTTATCTCAGTCTGTTCGTATCTATCTATCTATCTATCTATCTATCTATCTATCTATCTCAGTCTGTCCATATTTATCTTTATATTTTTTCTCAGTCTGTTCATATTTATCTCAGTCTGTTCGTATCTATCTATCTATCTATCTATCTATCTATCTATCTATCTATCTATCTATCTCAGTCTGTTTCTTTCTATCTATCTATCTATCTATCTATCTATCTATCTATCTATCTATCTATCTATCTCAGTCTGTTTCTTTCTATCTATCTATCTATCTATCTATCATGTAAACTTCCATTTGATATAAAAATTACATTTTACCCATTAAAAGTGTCAAATTTAACAAAAAAGTCCAAAACGAAAAAGAATCTGAGAAAAGAAGTTGTAAAAATGCCGTAAGTTTTATAATAGATATATATATATATATATATATATATATATATATATATATATATATATATATATATGTGTGTGTGTGTGTGCATTTGCATGAGAGTGCATATGTGTGTGTGTGGCCGCACACGCTCATGTGTACGTGTGTGTGTGTCCGCACACGCTTATGTGTACGTGTGTGTGTGAAATGATTCGTCGTGGCAAATTTCATTTTGTCCTACAGTCTCCGCTCATATCAAAACAACTTATCAAATATTAAGGAAAATAAGAAATTCGACTGCTGATATATTGCGAAATTCCACAAAGAAGTACTGAAAGATATTAATAATATAATAGAACGCACTTCTTATCTGTAGATACCAAGTAACATAGATGGGAAAAATGAACGGAGAATCGATCGATAAATAGATAGATGTAGAATCTATAAAAGCTAGCGGAATATATTTTCTTTCGTATTAAATATCTTTGTGGACAAATAAAGAGCATCCATCTGGGGCCCGCGGGCTACTTTGACGACAATAAATTTCATCAGGAATCTTCAAAACCGAGAATGTACAGAATGGATTTTGAAACGTTGCCAATGTGCAGGGTATAAGAAAAGAAATTCCTTGTGGGATCATTTTTCGGTTTGTCTCCACATTCAGAATGAAACATATTCTTCAGTCACGACAACGCGCATCTGTAGTTAAAGAATCATATTTCCAACTGTTATCTATCTATCTATCTATCTATCTATCTATCTATCTATCTATCTATCTATCTATCTATCTATCTATCTATGTTAATCGTCCTCTCTGTGCCTGCATTTACACATCTATCTATCTATCTATCTATCTATCTATCTATCTATCTATCTATCTATCTATCTATCTATCTATGTTAACCGTCCTCTCTTCGCTTGCAGTTCCTATCATAGTCTATTTAATGCATATCTATCTATCTATCTATCTATCTATCTATCTATCTATCTATCTATCTATCTATGTTAATCGTCCTCTCTGTGCCTGCATTTACAGATCTATCTATCTATCTATCTATCTATCTATCTATCTATCTATCTATCTATCTATCTATCTATCTATCTATGTTAACCGTCCTCTCTTCGCTTGCAGTTCCCATCATAGACTATTTAATGCATATCTATCATCTATCTATCTATCTATCTATCTATCTATCTATCTATCTATATCTATATATCTATCTATCTATGTTAATCGTCCCTCTCTGTGCCTGCATTTTATCTATCATATCTATCTATCTATCTATCTATCTATCTATCTATCTATCTATCTATCTATCTATCTATCTATGTTAACCGTCCTCTCTTCGCTTGCAGTTCCTATCATAGTCTATTTAATGCATATCTATCTATCTATCTATCTATCTATCTATCTATCTATCTATCTATCTATCTATCGATGTTAATCGTCCCTCTGTGCCTGCATTTACAGATCTATCTATCTATCTATCTATCTATCTATCTATCTATCTATCTATCTATCTATCTATCTATCTATCTATCTATCTATCTCATTCTGTTCATATCTATCTATCTATCTATCTATCTATCTATCTATCTATCTATCTATCTATCTTAATCGTCCTCTCTGTGCTTGCATTTACAGATCAATCGATTCAGTACATATCCGTATTTCTTTGTGACTTGATTATCAATTCTTTGTACCTTTTTATTTGTGTTCGTCTCGCTTATTGTTAGTAAAGCGTTTGGTGAGTTTAAAATTCAGACTGTCGATAGAAGGAATTACATTTTAACCTATTTTAATTAATATAAAAGCTGAATTATTAGTAAATAACAATGTGTTTATATGAATATACGGAGACAGAGGAAAATGATAGGCATCAGAAAACTTGAATGCGCTTCAAAAATATATATATATATATCTATAGGCACACTGACAGATGAAAAAAAGCAAAAAACTATTGAAACCGAGTTAAACTGTTACTCATACATACATTCGTTGGTACACATATGGAGAAAGAGAAAAAATGAAAATAGCAGAGAAGAAAATGAGAGAGGAGAAAGCAAGTTAAAGAAATAGATACAAAGAGGAAAAGCGAAGGACAATGAGAGACAATGTAAGAAAGGAGAGAAATAGAGAGCAAAGTGAGGGAAAGAGAGCAAAGATAGAATTAAACTATATATATATATATATATATATATATATGGGGGTAGAGAGAGAGAGAGAGAGAGAGAGAGAGAGAGAGTGAAAGGGAATTGGAAGAAAGAGAGAAGTCAATGGGAGACACCAGACTGAAATGGACAAAACTAATGAGAATATTTTTCGACTAATTCTTTATATCCTAGGTTTATAAACGTGTGTACGTACATGTATACACAAACATATACCTATACAGCAACGCAAACAGGCACGTGCACACACACGTATACATACACACACACAATCGTATATATATATATATATATATATATATATATATATATATATATATATATGTATGAATGAATGCACATTTATGTTTATATGAAGGAGAATCGGCGGTAAATAAGACGACTCGGTTCCTTTGTGACCAATCGATAATATTCATATTCTTTGGAGCACATTTTATGTAATTCAACTCGTCGTCTGTCCGAGATCCTTTAGCGCCAAAGAGATCAATGACGGCGCTCACTTCGATTTCTATTGTAATTTTTGGAAGAGGCTGTGTCAGAAGAGAAAACATTAAAATTTTCTTTCTTTCTTTCTTTCTTTCTTTCTTTCTTTCTTTCTTTCTTTCTTTCTTTCTTTCTTTTATAATTATTATTCTGTCCAAAAGACTTTGATAAACCATGTTAACGTTATAGTCTTCTTTATCACTTGTACGCCTTTCTTTCTTTCTTTCTTTCTTTCTTTCTTTCTTTCTTCCGCTCTGTTTATTCTTTCAATTCATTACAATAATCGTTTTGTTAAAAAGTCTTTGGTAACGTCGTTTATGTTATAGTCTTCTGTATTACTTAAATGTCTTCTTTCTTTCTTTTCACTATAATAATCATTCTATCTTTGGTAATTTCTGCTAACTCTCATATATTATACTGTTCTATATCATTTGAATGTAGGTCTTGCTTTCGTACTTTCTCTTTTTCTTTCTTTATTTCTTCCTTTCTTTAATTCATTCTTTCTTTCTTTTCATTATAACAATCATTCTGTCCAAAAGTCTTTGGTAATTCATGCTAACCTTCATATGGTATAGTCTTCTGGATCACTTGAATGTCTTTCTTTCTTTCTTTCTTTCTTTCTTTTCATTATAATAATCATTCTGTCCAAAATTCTTTGGTAATTCATGCTAACCTTCATATGTTATAGTCTTCTGCATCACTTGAATACCTTTCTTTCTTTCTTTCTTTCTTTCTTTCTTTCTTTCTTTCTTTCTTTCTTTCGCCAAAATAAAGAAATGTAATTTTGGCGGTGCAGTGAGTTAAGCGAGTTGTTAAAAAAAAAAAAAAAAAAAAAAAAAAAAAAAAGAAAAGGAATTTAATCAGTTAATATTTTTAAATTGTAGAAAATCGTTCACTATTTCTTGGATGCATTTATTTAGTTTATATTCAAATATAAGCATGCACATATGAAGGTTTTCAGAAAGGTTCTCAGTCCAACTATGAATATCTGTCAATATTTAGTTAGATTTTAAGAAATTGACTAACAGAATCCCAAAGTATTTTCAAATATAATTTATTCTAAAATTTAAATTTGTACTTCTAATGTTAATTTCAGAGTATTGACCACATCTTGCTTCTTTTAAGGTAAACCAGATATTTTTCTTATGTTTAGTTGCAAATCTTATAGTGTAGCAGTAAACTAAATGGTCAAATAACTAAAACAAAAGAAAAAGGTAATGTATATTTCCTTGTGAAACTGTAAGAGAGATTTAAAAAAACAGAATATATTGAAAAAATATATGAAACAAAACTGCATCTAAAACCATACACGGTGTAATGTGTTTTCGCAGAGAAATGCCTTCCCCAAGATTTGTTCAAGTAAATAAACATCAGAATTTGCGTGGGGAGGGGATTTTCTTGGTTAGGCCGATGACTTTCCCAGCATCCAATATAACATACAAAAACCTATATATGGTTTTTGTACACGCTACACGTGCACATAAACCAATTCACCAACACATGAGTACAAAAATCCTATTAATGAACTTGGACTTTTTAGTGCAGTTATATTGTTCGTGTAAGACAAACCATTGGTAACTGAAAATACATATCGACATTTTATAAGCGTTTATATGAAAACATACGCATACTGGTCACTTAAATATTTACATGTGTACAAATGCACTTTTATACATTTTTTAAATCAGCCACAGCTATGGTGGAAATTTAATACATATAAGCATTTAAACATGGTCATGATTATCTGGTGAATGTCCTTTTATGCATAAGTATAGGAAATAAAGATGTTAAGTAACTTTGAATGTGGTATGGTCGTTGGTGTCAGAAGGACGGCTCTGAGTATTTAAAATAATTGCTGTAAGTTAGAATAGAATTTTCACACACAACCATTTCTAGGTTTTACATAGAATGGACTGGGAAAGAAAGTCCAGTGAGTGGTATTTCTGTAAACGGAAATTTCTTGATGATTAAACAGGTCGGAAGAGAATGTCTAGACTGGTTCAACCTCATAAAAACGCTAAAGTAGATCAAATAATCACTCTTTGCAAGATATATTTACAGAAGAACATTTCAAAATGCACAACTTTTGTAAAATTTGAAGTAGATGGGTTACATCAACGGAAGGCCACACTTGGTGCAATTCCTCTCAGATAAGAACAATAAATAAGGGTTATAATTCAGTAAAATCACAAAAATTGGACAATACTAGATTGAAAAAAAATGTTGCCTAGGCTGAAAAGTCGTGATATCTACTTCGGCATTCGGGTGGTTGGATAAGAATTTGGCGTAAATAACATGAAACTATAGACCTATCCTATCTAGTACCAACGGGTTAACCTGTTGCTAGTGGCATAACGGTATGGGGAATATACCTTTAGCATATATTAAGATCCTTGATACTAATAAAATATCGTTCAAATTCTTCAGTCGACATAGATATTGTAGCTGGACAGGTTTATTACTACGACGCAGTCTTCATTTGCTGTTTACTTCCGGTAGGACA